GTCGGATGCCCAACCAACTGAGCCACCCAGGCGCCCCTACAGTTACATTTCCATTGGACTGAATGCAGGTAAAGTGCCACACACAGTGCCTGGCTCCAAGCACAGAGCTGCTCTACTGGTTGGTTCCCTTTTCTATGACCTCAGCATAATGGTACATTGTGGCAAAACAAACCAGTGCACCCTCCAAAAAAAAGCATCTCTGATTTAAAAGAAGGGATTATAGGATCTGCAGGGACAAACCAGACTGGGGCTGGAAGACTGCCTCACTCAGGGAGATATGGGGGCTGGGACAGTGTGCCAAATTCCAGGGTAGTTCTGCCAGTGACTTCTTCAGGGCTTCATCAGCTCTACACATTGCTTTGCAGCCTGGAATTCCGTCCAGAGTCACTTCACCGAGCAGGCATCAATTCCTACCTTCCACTTACCCCTCCCACCCTTTCTCCCTAAAGAACAGGGCACAGGTCTCACCAGTCCTGTAGATTTCTTATTCTTCCCTTTTCTTGGAGAACAGGAATATCTTAGGGGCTGAGTAGAAAGAGGCCCTGTGTGGAGAAGGAAGTCCTGAATATCTGAGGGTGAGGAATGTGAGGGTGGTTGGCCTGCTCCATAATCCTTTCTGGATTCATCCTTTAAGATACCTCTTTCCCTAGGGAGCCAGCCTAACTTAGTTTCCATCTCTACTCTACTTCTACCCCTCGAAACTGTTATAGCACTAACTACACTAGAGTTACTTGTTAGTTTACTAGTGAGTTGCTTAGTTTTTTGCTAGTAAGCTCCATGAGGACAATACTCGATCTCTAGCACCTAGCAATGTGCCTGGTACACAGTAAACTATGTAAATGTCTGCTAAATGGCAAAATGGAGGAAAGAAGGAAGGAAGGAAGAAAGGGAGGGAGGGAAGGAAGGAAGGAAGGAAGGGAGGAAGGAAATAAGAGAGGGAGGCAGGAAGGGAGGGAGGGAGGAAAGTCCTCTCTACCAAGTTGACTTGGTAGTCTTGGCCCAAGTAGACTCACAGCTGCCCTGTTCTGTGCAAAGCACTTAGAAGATGTGATCCCTGCCCTGGAGACTTAAAATATACACATTTCTCCAACTTTGTATCCATCTTTGGGAAAATACATTGCAAGGGTAATTCCTGTTTATTCCAAACCTCATGTTCTTTATTTTACTAAAGTACTCAAAACGGAGCTCCTGAGTCTGAGGGAGGTTCCCAAGTACATGGAATCCTGGGAAGAATTATAGGGCTCAGAGGTCTGAAGTCTAGCGTTCTAATCCTAGCTCTGCCACCTCAGCTGTGTAACCTGCAGTGAATGACTTTCCCCTCTGGGCCTCAGTTCTCTTTGTAAAATGGATGGGCCTGACTTTGTATGAAAATAAAAGCAGTTGGGTATATCTGACTATTTACCCCATTGTGTGTAATTGGACAGTATCTTCCCTCCTAAATGCTTAGGTGCAGGATAGATGCATCAGTAAGCTGAGGGGCAGGAAGACAGCATGTGCCTATTTCAGTCTGTAAAAAGGAAGGCCCAGGATGTGCTGCCCCTCTAGTGAGTGGTTGGAGTGGTGGTCGACCAAAGGGTGGCTTACCACAATAAGGACCCACCCAAACATGTCTATGTGTCTTAGCCCCTAGGTTTACAAAAGGCTCCAAAGCCCCAGAGTCTTCATGGCACTACCAAGGACGAACCCTTGTTCACCATTCAAAAACAATACACCCCTCATACCACCCTTCCCCCTTCGGAGAGACAACCCAGGGAGAAATAGTCAGCAGAGGTGGAAGATGGTGAGATCTGGAAAAGCACTGGTGAAGCCAGGCTTCCTGCAGGGCCCCATCTCAGGCTTCCCCAGAAAGTGCAAGCAGGGGAGCTTTCTGGCCCCCTGCAGCAGTTACTTCTGGAGGACAGTGGGTTTGGTGGACACAGGCATCCATGCCCAAAGGCTTCCTGGCTTCAGTCCAAGCGGCTGGCAGGTTCATCCTTCTCCCTAGAGCCCCACGAACACCACTTCCGGCCCTCCTGTCTCTGCTTGGGCTCTAGCTGCCTGGATTTCTATGCCCATGCCAGGCCTTCCCTGTGCAGAGCTTTCTCGCTCTCCCTTACAACCCTTATTCACTCGCACTCTCCCTATCTATTTCTTTCTCCCTCCTCCTCCTCCTCCCCTGCTTCTCTCCTCCTTGCCAACCCTCAGCAGTCCCAGAATGGGTCCCCCCTCCCGCCCCCACAGCATCTCCCCCTCCTTAGCTCTTACCCCTGCACCTTTCTTTGTATTCCTTTCGCCCTCTCCCGGCCTCGCCTGTATCTCTCCTCCCCCGCCTGCCTTCAGCCTCCCCCAGCCTCCCCATCTTCAGCTCAGTCTCCTCCCTCTCGCTGTGCTCCCCTCCCCCTC